GCGCGGGGAGCGCGGCGCGGGCGTGCCTCCAGGATGCTGCAGCTAGGACCGCGGAAACCCGTTCCTCTCCAGTCGGGCGGGGCGGGCGGGGCGCGGCCTCTCGCAACCAGCCCTAACGACCACCGCGCCCCGCCACGCTCCGCCTCGCCGTTCCACAGTTCGCACCTTACGTAATGGACCGTTGGGAAAAGCTGCAGTGGCTTATAAGGACACCGCGGCTCGGGCCAATGACCCCGCGGAGCTGCCGCGGAGCGCCGCGCGGAGCCACAAGGCGGAGCCGCGGGCCCAAGGGAAAGGGAACGGGGACCCGGGCCAAGGTGAGAGGCGCGCCCGGGCGGACCGAGCCCACTGGGCGCCCAGGCGGGGCGGACCGAGCCCACACATTTTGGAGAGTTCTTTTCTAGTGCTTACTTTCAAGAAAAAACAAAACTGCAGGAGAGATTTTTTTTTTGCATTATTTTAGTTTTTCAAAATAGCTATTCAATGGGTCAAAATTAGTTTATAATCCATGAAAATAAAAATTAGCCCATATGGGAAGGAGACAGTCCCCAGACCAGGCCACAAAGCTTCCCCAGTTTTTACAGACAGTCCCCGGGAATGCCTAAAAGGAACTCTCTTAAATCTGGAAACGGATACTTCTTTCGCTACAAGATCCAGCCTCTGACACATCGTCTGCCGGGGTCGAGAAAGCGGCTGCGGCAGCACAGGCAGGAGCCACAGCCAGCCACTCGCTCCGGTTGCGTTCGCACCTGATGTGAACTTCCTGGCCGCAACGCCCCGCCACGCCCCGGCCGGTGACGCACCGTGCCGCCGCCGCTCTCCGCTGGGGAGAGGGGGCAGGTCAACAGACGGCCCTGGCAGTGAAAGCAGACGGACCAAGGAGCAGAGCGCACTTTCCCTGCGCCCGGCGAGGGGCCTGAAGGCGGGCCGTGAGGCGGGCCTAAAGGTGGCCTCGGCGTAGCGGTCCGTCTGGAGGAGGGACCGTCTCACGCACCGTGCGCGGCGCACGGCACGGGCAGGTGAGGTGGGACAAGGTCCGACAGAGCGAGAGAGAGAAAGAGCGACGTACACGGGCGAATGCGAGAGACGAAGCAGTCGGGACAAAAGGACAAAAGAAGAAGGGGGGGGGGGTACAAGGTCTGGATCAATATTTTAATCTTCACCGATTTAACTGATTTTTCTCGGTTAAAACGTGCGCCTGTCGCGTGTCACGTATTAGTGCACCCCCCGAGGTACAATAACACAACAATAGATAACGTGAGAGGGGAAGCCGATTGGTGAAAAAACTGCATGCGGAAATCTAGAGTACGTATGGCGTGAAGACACAGACAAAAAAAGAAATACATGTATACACGTATAGGCAAACGTACGCACAGAGAGAAAGGCACAGAGGTTAGCGCGTCCATTGGCGTGAAAGAGTGTGAGAGAGAAAGAAAGGCCACGACGACAGGTGAGAGGAAGAAAGAGGCATGATAAGCGTGACAATGAAAGCAGGAGGCGAGGCAGCCGCGATCAAAAGATACTGGTATATACATTTAAAACGAGCCGGTTTCTTTTTATTCCAGCAATTTTGCATATCCGAGCCCTGCGATAGTTTCGGCGATAGTCCCCACGGGTGAGCACTACGCGGTCGGTTGGGTTGCCTTCCTCACCTCGCCTTGCAGGGCATGGTGCAGCCCGCACGGAGCTCGGGTAGGCAACCCAACTCGCTGCGCCGCGTTGCACTACGCATCTCGGCGACGACGAGACCGGCGCTCGCGAGTCAAAATATGCATTGCGATAATTTTTTACGTTTTTCTGTTTTAAGTCGTTTTTAAAAATATTTTATACTTTGAAATTTTCCTGTTAGAACTGATCATATTGACCGGTCTATGGAGTGGTGCTCAAAAGACCGAGCCGCGGTTCAAAATTATCCCAGCCCACGTTAACAAAAAGTTTTCAAAATTGTTCATAGCGCAGCGGCACACAAAATGGCGAGCTTCGGCGATGAGCTTCGGGTTCTCTCGACACGAAGCTTACCTCGAAGTTCCGCTGGAAGTGTTCCAGCTCCAGCCCGAGGGCGGCCAGGGGGCTGTGGCCGGGGCTGGAGCCTGGGCCGTGGCTGCCGGGGCTCGGCCCCTGTGGCGCCGGCGCCATGGCCTGCGGCAAGGCCTGCGGGGGCGCCCCCGGGCCGCAGGAGCCCCCTAGGCCACCCCCCGCGGGGCCCAGGGTACCCAGGGCGAGCGCCGTCCGTCCATCGCGGACCTCCACACAAGAAAAACCAAGGGGCGCTCTCAGACCAAACGGCAAATGCAACTCAGAAAAAACGACAAACCGAATATTATTCGAACAAACGTTACCCCGAGGAGAAAGAAAAAGATGTTATCTCCTCTTTGTTTCCGTTACTTATTCCTCCGATTGTTAATTGACCCCAAAATGCAGCGACGTTAGTTGAGACGGGCTAATAAGTCGAGGTGTTTAATAAGGACAGACAGCCAGGTGCGAGAACTCACACACGCAGCGGAGTGACCGAAGTAGGGCCTAAGCTAGAGGTGCTAGGGGGCTGGGCACTCACCTCGCTGGGGTTTGTTAGCGCCGTCTTCAGGATGGTCCCGTTTACAAGATGAGGAGAGAGTGCGTGCTCTTGGCTTAGGAGAGCCAGTCCTTTGGTCTGGCCCAGGGCCTGTTGCTGCTGCTGCTGTTGTTGTTGCTGTTGCTGCTGCTGCTGTTGTCGCTGCTGCTCCTGTTGTTGCTGTAGGTGGTGCTGCTGCTGTAGGTGGTGCAGCTGCTGCTGTTGTTGCTGTTGTTGTTGCTGCTGCTGGACGGGTCCCGGTGTCGGCGTCGGTGGTTTCTCGGGCTTCACCTGCCCGTTGGCCCGAGCGTTCTTCTTATGTTTTTTGTACTTGACCTGAGCAAGGGCAAGTGGCGTAGGAGTGTTAGTCTAAATGAAAAAAAGGCGGTAAAAAAAATATCCGGACAGAGTTACATTGGGTAGAGTATTTGAAACCTCGACCCTCGATACTGTTGTAGGTACTTACCTTGTAAAGGTTGTAGACTGCCCCCGAGTTCCGGCCTCCAGGCATGCGATCTTCGCGGACAGCTGTGGGCAGTAACACATAAGTGGAACGTCGAAAAGAGTCCAAAAGAAAGAAAGACCAAAAAGTGCTGCACTAACGCCTCGGTATTCGAACCCACAGCGCGGCCAACACGACACATCTCTGAGAGAAACCAGAGTACGTAAACCAGGGAAGTGACAGGAGAGGGAGAGAGAGAAAGAGGAAATCGACAAGGATGTCAACCAAAATGCCTAAAAGCAGCAGCTGCTTTCCGTGCAGATTCGGAGGCGGGAAAATGAAAAACGTCTCGTTCGTTTGGAAATGACGCGTTGTCGTTCGTCGTTAAGGTAGGGAGTGCAAGTACATGAGTTCAAAGTACGTTCGCACGACACGTCGCGGGAAGCGATGCGTCCGCGGCGAGGCCGTCGCGTTCCCTTCCGGGTGTGAGAATTCACCAGGGACGAGAGATAACGGACTTCTTCTGCTGATTTGTTCGTCGCGCGGCGACGCTGCAGTTTTAAGCCGAACAAGTTGGCGCGATTAGATTAAATTCAAGTTCAACGCCCCGCGAAGGACGTAGGCGAGTCAACAACCTGTGCGGCAACTGCAGATGCCAATGGCAAGTTGGGGCGGTAAAATGATGTAAATTTGATATGCTATTAAGTTTTAGAAATGAAAGTCATTTTTTTTTCAACGGGAAAAAAAGAGGGCATGTGACGTTTGTTCATGCAGTGCTAAGGAGGTATATGGTCGTCTATTCACAGTGGAGCAAGGTGAGAGGGAAACAAAACATTCTGAGAGTATGTACTGTAGTTAAACGTACTAAAATAAAAAGTACTATTTATTTACATTAATAAATAGTTGTGAAAAAAGGAGCATAGTTTGTTTCCCTCTCGCAATGCAAAAGTCGGACAGAGTCGCAAGAAAAGGGATGCCTCCACCGAGAGAAGTAGCACAGAGAGCAGGAAGAAGGGGAAGAACAAAACAAAAACCCTCGACGAGGACAGAGGAGGGAAGTACGAACCTTGCAGCACCATGCCCTGCTCAATGCACTTCTTGAAGCGGCAGTATTGGCATCGATTCCGCTGAGCTTTGGTGATCTCACAGGTTCCGTCAGCGACGCAGGTGTACACTCGACGGTTCTGGACTGTTCTCTTGAAGAAGCCCTTGCAGCTGCACACCAGACATGTCACGTTAGGGAAGACCATTCACCACATGGGGGGAAAGGGGTTTTAGTCATTGAGGAGGCCGCCAGACCAGGGTTTTGGGCAGCATGAATGTTTTTAAAGTTATTTCTCTTTTGATAGAAAAAAGGAGTAAATAAACAAATTCTATATCCCATAAGTCTGGCAGGCCAAAGAGGGTTAGTGTTATATACAAGAGTATTTTCGGAGCAGCATGAAAGACAGCCGCAAGAAAATTACCCGTGAATTTTTAAAGGGAAAAGTTGATAGATCATAGAAGATGGGCTCTGATTCACCTTATATATATTATATGCACGTCTGTATTGAAATTAATCATAAGGTGTAGATGATATATTATGACAGCGATGACAATGAGATACCCCACCAGATTTTGAGAGTGAACAGCAAAGATGAAGAAATAATGAAGACCTCGTTTTAAATTTCCTATAAATAAAATCTTAGGTGAAATGCTCTCCTTTTTAAAATGAACGGCTTGGTCAAAGTCGGCAGAGCTAAAATGGGGATAATCTTTCAATATTTCGACAGTGCGAGTCGACGTCAGTTCCAGCAGTGCGCGGGTGCGGCAGGCTGCGCCAGGCGGTGCTTACCCCTCGCAGGTGATGATGCCGTAGTGCAGGCCGGTGGCCTTGTCCTCGCAGATCATGCAGATCATGGGCTGGTCGTCCTCGTCCGGCTGCAGGGCGAGGGTCGCCTTCTCGTGGCCGGCCTGGCCGTGGCCCGCCGCGCCGTTGGTCCGCGACGCGGCCGTCGCCCAGAGCGGCTGGCCCGCGGCCGACAGGTTGAGGGCGTGCAGCTGCTGGGCGGCGGGCAGCTGCGACAGGTCGCCCGCCCACAGGCGCTCCATGTTGAGCGGCGCGGGGAAGTGGTGCGGCGTCGACCCGACCTGAGGGACGAAGAGGGTTACTGTGGGGTATACGGCTAGCCGCGACAGACCGGGAGGAGGTTTACAATAACACAACCGAGGAGGGCACTTTTCTCGCTCAGAGTGGAACTCACTGGGGATTTCATATTCAGGGTCCGCAAATAATCTAAGAAAGGGTCAGCGACAAAGCTGCTACCGCCCGTCGTCGGTAGCCCGCGGGCACCGAGTCTGAGCGCGCTGAGGCTATGCGGCCTCACCTGGTGGTGCTGCTCGGGCTGCGGGGGCGGCACACTGTTGCCCAGGCTGAGCAGCAGCTGCGCCGCGCTCTCGTCGTGCTGCGAGTTGGACGACGAGGACTGCGTCGACTGCGGCGACGACGAGCTCCACGACGCCGAGGCCGAGGTCTGCGACGCGGCCGTGGCCATGGGCTGTGACCAGACCATGGTGCGCACGCCGCCCGCCTCGCCCATGATGACGGTGGGCGCGGGCCGCGCGGGCTGCGGCGCCTGCGAGGGCTGCGGGCTGTGCGGGGAGCCCCCGGGCCCCCCGGGCGCCGCGGCCCCGGGCGGCACGCCGCCGCCGATCAGCTCGGGCCGCACGCCGTTGATGCGCGGGGAGAAGCCGGTCGGCGCCGACGACGCCTCGTGGTGCTGGGGTTGCTGCTGCTGCTGCAGCAGGTTGTTGTTGTTGGCCGAGCTGTTGTTGTTGACGAGCTCCGACTTGACCCGGATGGGCGCCGACACCCACGAGAAGGTGGGCGGCGACGGGTTCTTGGTGGGGGTGACGACCGACACGGGGATGGGCGAGGGCTGGCCGCCGGGCTGGCCGGGCGCGCGCTGCCGGTGCAGCAGGTGGCGGTGCTGCTCCTCGTGCCGCAGCCGCGCCTCGGCCTGCTCCGCCTGGTGCCGTATCCGCTGCTGCTCCTGCTCCTGCTGCGCGCGCAGCCGGTGCTCCTGCTGTAGCCTCTGCTGCTGCTCCACTTGTATCCTGTGCTCCTGCTGTATCCTCTCCTGCTGCTCTTGCTGCCGCAGCCGCTGCTCTTCGTGCTCTTCCTGCGGAGAACAAAGCAAAAAGGTGGTTAGCACTAGAAGTTGCCTGCATTTGTTTTGATGCACCACGTGGCTGATTGACCTCGCCTACACTGTAAAACCGGGGTGGAATGCCTATGGACTCATTCAATGCAATCACCTGGAAGACCAGAAAGTGTCCAGCAGATAGGCGACATGAGTCGCCTAGTCTTGCGGGTCAGGCGACTTTGTCGCCTACCTGCTGGACACCCCGGATTTACAGTGTACAGTTTTGGTTACACTGCACCGCCATGCAGGCGTTGCGTGCGGGTTTGCCTATCGCTCCTGATCAAGGCGCCGAACGGCCCCGAGCGGTTAGGCAACCTGCCGGCGCTATGTGGGCGGGGTCAAGCAACCACCCGGGGGTGGACCTACCGACTGCCGCTGCGTCATCTGCTGGCCGCCGACGACCACGCTGATGACGGTGCTGGTGGGGTGCGCGCTGTGACCCGGGTGGGCGCCGTGGCCCGGGTGGGGGTGGTGGTTGGAGTCCTTGCCGCCCCCGCCGCCGTCAAAGACGCTGGTGTCGGCGGCGTCCGGCCGGCTGGCCAGGCGGGACTGCGCCGCGTGCCCCGGCGACCGCGCCCGCTGCGAGTCGGCGAGCGGCTCGGCCGGCGACCTGGGGGGCGGCGGGCTGGGCGGCAGCGGGGGCAGGGGCGCCGCCGGCGGCCCCGGTGACGGCGACCCCGCCATGTCCGGGGACGAGGTGCTGGTGTCCGGGACACTCTCCCCTGCAAACACACAAAGCAAAGACAGGTTCGTTAGAGAAGGGCTCCGCAGGGGAATGACCATCATCTCCAATCATTCGTGGCTTTTCACACCAACATTTCCGACAGTGTGATGACCCCCGAATACGCTTGCAAGCAGGCCACGCGCGCTTCGCACGGCCGTGTGAGTCGTCGCGTCGGCGGCGGGAGAGGGAGACAGAGAGGCGGAGGAAGAAAGTCGGCGCCGCTCCTCGAGGGCGAGGGGGGAGGCCGCCCCGCGCCTGCTTACTATGCACGCCCCGCGGGTCCTCCAGCCGGGCGGGGCGGGGCGGGGCGGGGCGATTGGCGTCGAGGCGCGTCCCGCCCGCGCGACAAGACACACGGGAGGAGAAAGCACACGAGTAAGTCACCAGCCGCCTCGTCCCGCCCGATCTGAATCGGGACAGAGCAAAGCTCAAGGGGAGCTGAGCTGACAGCTGGACACACGACGTCATAGTGTTTGTACACCTTCTATGATTATAATAGTGTACCCCGGGGTGCAAATAATTAGGCCCCTGATCCTGGCCGTCCTTCCAAGGTGACTGCCCTGCTGACAAACAACAATGAACATACCCACGGAGAACCGTTTCCTGAATCAAGCACATTGCATTTCACTTGAGCAAACGTGCCTGCGGACGCCAGAACTTTTTCATGGCATTGCGCAATAGGGTACCTATTTCACCCAGTTTAAACCGGATCCAAAGAAGAACTGAACTGTTTCCTCCCTGACGCTCATTGGCTGACGCGGGCGAATTTCGTGGCCCTGCCACTAGATCTGCGACTGCACTATTGACGAGTCGGAGAACTTCGTCTGCGTCAACCAATGAACGTCAGGGAGGAAACAGTTCAGTCCTTCTTTGGATCCAGTTTGAACTTGGTGAAATACCTTATTTGCATTGTCCTTGTGTCTATGTTCCCACATACCACCATGTTCTTGATTCAGGAAATAGAGACGGTTAGGAAGGGGAGGGGGGGTCTCTTTATCCTCTGGTAGAGACAGTCTTCAGGGACTGTCTAAAAATTGGGGGTACGTTCATCAAGCTCTGAGCAGTCTCTGAACCGACGAACGATCAGTACTTCGTTGCGTCGAAAGGTGTCTATCGAATCTCTTCTTGTGACTCATTTCAATACTCCAAATTTACCTCTCCCCGACAAGAGGGTGCGACGACATAGTGTTCATCAAAGACGGTGACACACCAGACCTGACCCGAGACCAACCCTAAGCGGGTTTCTTTCTGTTGTGTGCCGTGTTAAGGCAGTCCCTCCTCATGGGCCCATGGCCCGGGCGGGCCGGGCCAGGCGGGCGGAGCGCTGCTCGGGTAGGCGACTTTCTCCTGGCAAAGGTATGGGCCCGGCCGCCCCGCTTGTTCCGTTTCCAAAACGTGTGGGCGTTGACCGATAAGCTTTTGTCTCTCCCGGTCGGTCGG